TTTTTACCACTAACTAATTTTTGCAGGTATTATAATGTCAAATCAAAACAACACACCACCCCCTTACGATGTAGAACTTAAATTCCAAATGCAAGTCATGACAAAGATGATGGAAAGAATGAATTTCGTGATGGGAAACGTGTGTGACAGACTTAAAAAAGTGGGAAAATATGGTAACGTGGCTGGAACCTGTACCCAAGATGTGAGAAAGGTTGGGGCTGAACCGAAATCAAACAATGGTAGTGGGGCTGAAAGGCTAAGGTGGGATGATTATGAGGACATTGATGATATTGGTGATGGCGGTTTTAAAGATGAGATCATAGGCCACCAAGAAGGTTTTTGGCAGCCTAGAAACCAAAGGGATTTCATGTATTTTGATGAGGTGTTATGGCAAAAAAAAAAAGGAGGATTCAAAAGGAGAGGTGGTATCAAATGGAGAGAAATAAAGAGATTAGTGTTCTAAAAAAAGAATTCAAGAGTCTATCACGTATTCTAGGGGAGATGAAGCAATAACTTGATGTGTTAATGACAACAGTCAATCCTTAGCAAGCTTCAGAAATAGAGGAAAAAACGTTACCATAATGATATAAAAAATAGAATGGCTGCTACTTTCATCCAAAGTTTTTGGCGACGATTGTTAGCAAGAAAAGAACTTTCAAAGACTTCAAAACAAGGCTAAGGAATTGTCCATTCCATTTCTTGGTGATTCAAGGACGAATCACTTGAAAAGAGAAGGAATGATACAATCTAAGAAATCTCAAATTCGGATATTAATGTAAAATGGGCTTATCCAGTTTTATGGCAACAATATAATTCGCAATCCAACTATTAGATTGAGCTGAAACGTGGAGCCTCCGGACATGTTTGACTAATGTGTTGGTGAGATAATTTCTCTTCCATGGTTCTCTAAAGAACTGAAAAAACGACTTATCGAAGAATAACTGTCTCCGTGGCTTCATCCTTATACTTCTCGTTCGCGAATCAATATTTGTTGGGTAGGAGTCTCCGTTTTCAATAGTGCTAGTGCCTAGCTACAAGTTATCTTTGTGTCATACTGGTATCAAACATGATTTACTTGGCTTTCTAAAAATTGATGTCTTTACGTGTAGTTTGTGTGACCACACAATCATGAGGTTCACATCAAAGAAGATTTAGTAAGTCCCGTTCCTATCATCACTCTTTCTATCTCTCTGTGTCTTAAAAGCCTGTGATACACGTAAACAACAGATAGCAGGACCCTGACCATCTAAGGCTTTCACAAGTGTGAAAACAAACTCAACGAAGACCAGAGATGCGTATATGCTTGCTGCTGCTGCTCGTGTTTCATGATACCAATTAAACCCTTTATGCGTATATGCTTGCTGCTGCTCGTGTTTCATGATAAAAATTAAACCCTTTCACGTCAATTACGATATCTTCCATTGAA